GTTTTACATTCTCTTATTCACTTCAATACTATCTATTTTTTAATACAAGGAGGTCCATTCCTCATTTCAGCACTCAGGCCCAAACCCAACTAACATCTTATTTTTACCTTTAACACTTTTTAAAATAATAATAATAATAATAATAATAATATGAAATAAAATTAATAGTAATTGTTTGTATTTCGCGTCTGCAAGTTGTTTATTGAAGGTTTTACATTCTCTTATTCACTTCAATACTATCTAATTTTGAAATATCTTATTTTTATTAAAAAAATTAATGCTCTATTAGTTAAGTTGTTGGCACAATTTTCTTAGCATAAATGAGAATAAAAGAGAAAATAGCATCTGTTAAATGGAGTTAATGCACTCTTCTTTTCAACGATCTAAGATGTTTCATACAATAAAAATGAAAATTCTATAAACATGTTATTTGAATGTTGTTGCCCACAAAAACATGAAACAACGTACGTATGTAAAGTTAATTTATATCGTTGTTTGAATAGTAAAAATATGAATGATGTGCTTCTACATATACATGAGATACTGATGTACAGGTAACTTACATAATTATTTGTATATTTAAACTGATCAGACTCAAAAACTTATTGAAATGAGCTTATTTTTCAAGTATTATGAAGAATTTTTTAGAATATTGGAGGAAATTAAATTTACCAGTTTACATACAAATTAAATACATGGATTGAAATTTATTAATTTTTACTAGGCTAAATTTGGATAGCACTATTTTTTTAGTGTGTGTTAGTTATTTATGATAACTTTGATATTAAGTTTTGCAAACAGATGTATTACCAATTCCTAAGCGTCTGTGACAGGAAATAAAGCAGATAATGCAATGGAGCTCATTGTAATTCTTACATCTTGGGATAATTGAGTCACTCGATTTTTCTTGAATAATAATATTTGGTTTAGGGTCTTCTGGCTCCTATTCTGATGGCTTATCACAGTAGAAACGTAAATTGAACTCAAGATGGACAACAGTTGTAGAGAACAACAGAGTTTTAGCAAGATTTTAGGGGTCAAACAAATTTTTAAGTATAGAATTCTTAGAAAAAAATTTTCAAAATAAATTTTGGAAATATTTTACATTACACTAACCTCATATATATAATATCTGTAAATAGAAAACTATTATATAAATCAAATTACACAATTTAAACTTTTAGAAAATAGTAGACTCCTTACTTTTGAAATGTTGTCCTCATTTAACGATTTCTACTTAAATGAAATTACATATTATTTTTTCATAAATCTAACATGTTCCACATAATAAATAGGCAAAATTCTATAATCACATTATCTGAATGTTGTTGTCCTTATAAAGATGAAACTACGTATGTAAATTTAACTTATATAGTTATTGGAATATTAAAAAGATGAATGTTGTGCCTCTATATATACATGAGTTATTTATGTAAATGTAACTTATATGATCATTTGAATTTTAAACATATTAGACTCAAAGCTAATTAAAATGAGCTTGATTTTTCAAGTATAATGGTTTGAAGAACTGTTTTAGAATATTGGAGGAAATTAAATTTATCAACCTACATTTAAATTAGTTATGTTAATTAAAATTTGTTCATCTTCATCGACTAGAATTTGGATAGGACTATTGTCTTACCCTTGGGTAGTCATTCTAAATAATTTTGATGTGAAGTTTTACCTACACATGTTTGACCAATTTCTAGGCATAGGTTCTCAAAAATAAACAATATAACGGTATCAAGATGGCTTATCTTATAATTCTTATATCCTATATTCTCGATGCAACAGAGCCTCCTGCTTTCCTCTGAATAATAAAATTCGATTTAACATTCTATTCTCTATGTTCTGAGGTCCAGCACTGGTGAAATGTAATGTAGAGTTTAACTCAAGATAGATTATGGTTCTGTATATATGTAGGGTTGTATTTGAATCTTATATATCAATAAATAATTATCACTTTTTTAGTTCTAATAGAAGTGTTTGGACTTTTTTATATATAAATATAAATATTTAATTCTTTAGTTCAATTAATTTCACAAATACCTATAAATTGTTCAGTTTATCAATATTATATAAAACTCTATCTTCAAAAGCATAGTGGCTGTAGCATATTAAACTTGATTAGACCCAAATGACGTTAGAGAGGTTTCGAAACCATATTTTTATCATGATTTGAATTGACTCATCATCTAATTAAAACATCTCTAGTAGGTTCTATTTGAATTTCTAATAAGGGTAATAGTTGGTATATTTTTTTATTCAATATTTTTGTTAATATTCATCAATTAATTATTAAATGTTACAAATAAATTTTTTTATTTTAAATTTAAATTTAAAAATAATAATTTTTAAATAAATATATGGTGAAATTTGTTTAATCAAATAATATATCAATTATTATCCTTCTTAATAGACATGTGCTTTAATTTATTTAAAAATAATTATTTCAATCTTCAAGATATGAATTGCGTTGGTGCAAACAAGATCAGAAACAATTATAGATGTAAGAACAGAAGATAATTCAGCTGCAACGTCTAGGATTTTGTCTTGGGCTGGCCAAGACTTTCGCTTTGGATTTTTTGAAGTATGTGGACTTAGATATTTGTAAATATTATCACAATGCCAAATTTTGAAGGGTACTTAAATTTTTGCCCAATTAATTTATGAGTATATGTAAATTGATTTGTTGACAAGTATAGTATCAGATTGAGGGAAATGGAGGAGAGGGACAAAATTTCTCTATTTAGTGTTATCAAAAGAATTGGAGGGCATAGCAAGATTTTCCTTTACTTATTTTTAAAAAAAATTTATTTATTTATCCAAATAATGAAAAGAAAGAGGAATGGAATTGTAGCCTTCTATTCCTCTCCCTTCCCCTCCCCTTCCCTCCCTTACTCTTAATTTCTCTCAACCCAAACATATGAGTTAAGTGATTAGAGTTGAGCTTGACTCAAACTTGAATTTGAGTTTAAACTCAAAATTAAGTTTAAAAAATTAAGCCCAATTGAGTTTAAGTCACAGTTATTTAATCTCAATTTGACTCAATTTAATTGTATTAAAAAATTATTTATAAATATTAAATATTTAAAATTTTAATTTTAGTTTAATTTAAACTTTAGAATTAAACTCAAATACTCAATTTAATTAGATCATGAGTTGGGTTTGAGTTTGCTAAAGACTATTGAGCTTAAGTTTGCTTTTAATAAATTTGAACTTGACAAAAGCTTAATGAACTCAATTTGACTCAACTTGTTATTTTAGTATTAAGTTTGAATTCAAGTTCTAAGAAACTTGGCTAACTTGGACTCATTTACACCACAAATGCTAGCCAAATCTTCACAATTGGCAGTGAACATGACCCATTAAGAGTATTTGCTTCTAATAATATGTTTGGATTGAGGCAAATAGATGAAAGGAGAGGGAAAAAAAATTCTCTATTTAATTATCAAAAAAAATTAATGAGGGAGGAAAAAGGAAAATTTTCCTTTAGTTTATCTTTTCTTTAATTTAATTTTTATTTAAATGAAGAAAAGAGAGAAGGAAAATGGTTCCCTTCCTTCCCCTTAACCCAAATATATAGTAAATGAAAATGGGAGATTCACAAATCTATTTGCATTTTCCAGCATGTTTTATATCACTCACTATTTGTGTGCCTATGTATCAGTTCTTATATTGCTGTAATTTAACAAAACAAAAAGAAATGGCATTTTGTCTATTGGGTGGAGGGGCTGATCCCCTTCTTATTACCATGTGCTTCTCCTAAATCCAGTAGTTATTGTTTTATATCTTGATATAATTTAAATTATAAAATATTTTTTAAAATTTCTAATATATTTTCTTTTATTGCAAAAATTGAAATTAGTGCAATGAATTTTTTTTTGAAACTATCTTTTAATTTTTGTATAAATGGTTTTCAGCTTCCAAAGAGATAAAAGCTGGAGCTCCAAATATATTGCTTTTGAAATAGATGTTTTACTTTTAGGGAGTATTTATGTTAACTGTTTAAATATAATTGTTATTTAATAACTAATAGTTAATATTTAACAGATAATAATAATTATTATTTATCATTTAGAATATTTAGTCTATTTAATTAAAGTCAATCACTAATAACTGTTTAAGAAATAACAAAACAAACACCCCTTAATCTTATGAAATTTTATCAATTTCTAAAATTTTAATTATTTTATATCAATAAATTTATTCATATTTCAGAACTTTTAAAAGCAAGACAGACCATACCATAAAAAAATAATAAAATGTTGCTCAGTTAAATCTTCACGTATGAAAAAAATCATAATCAAAATTACGTCATTTTATTAAATTTAAATTAAAAAAATTAAAATAACATATTTTTAAAATATAAATAAATTTGTTTTATTTTTTTCATATAATATTTTAATAAAATAAAATAACATAATTTGAGATGTTATCCTTTTTAATTTTTTTAAAGTTCACTTCCTAAACACTACTCCCTGTCTATTCAACCAATCCTTCTACAAAAATTATTATAGTTGGGCAAACAGGCTCCTGGTTTAATAAAAGCAATTTCAGTACAAAGAGGCCCATTTTTAATTTCAGAACAGAGGCCAAAGCCCAACCAATCAACCCTTTCTTTTTTAACTTTAACACTCCCATTTTTCTTTAAAAACGAAATTAATCTGAAATAAAAACCTCAACTTTCAGCGATTCCTTCTCTCTGACGGACTCCAAGCGGCGGTTCTTCGAGAACCACGATCGAGGTAAATTTTTCTGAGATTTCTCCTTCCCCCATGTTTGTCTCTCCCATCTGCATATTGTTCATTGAAGGTTTTTACATGTTGATTGACTTTACCTCTTGTTTGGTCGCCGAGAAAATTGACTCCATATATGTTTTATATTAAGAATTGTCAAGAACTCAGACCCTTTTCTTGTTTTTGCCTAATTCATCTATTTCTTGGGTATTTAATTGTTCTCACTGTTAGAAAAGATTTGGACTTTTGTCTCAATTCATGGAGAAATTACAGTAAGTTGATTTTAATGCATAATTAGTGTTTTATGAACGGTTTTATCTCGTCTATATGTTAATGCTGATCTGATTGCAATTTGGGGCATGATGCATTTTTTTCCTTTGGTGATAAAGTGAATGAATTTTCTTGGATGATGAATTATGGTTTATTTAAGAAAAGTTAATTTGGTTTTCTTTAGTTTATGGTTATTATCATTTTATAATTTTGGGAAATAAAGGTTCCTATGGAAGGAAATGACCTGATATTCCATCTGAGTGCTGTGAAACAAAGCTAGTTTAACGTTTTCATTTAGGCGTGAATGAAAACCTGCCTCTGTTTTGTTGGTTTCTTTCAAAAACAGGTGATTAGATATCTGTAGAAGCAACTGGGAAATAGGAATACATTCTAGGGATGCCTTTGGTAGAATGTCAATACCATATGCTTGTTAATCTATGCCATTATTTTTCTCTTTGTATTCCAATAGAAGTTAGATATGTTAAAAGCTTATCAATTTTTGTACCAGAAGAGTTCTTAATTTTCAATTATGTTAACAACTTGACATCCTCTCACAAAACTTCCCTTCAAATTTTGTGTCTCACCATTAACAACTTTAAGACTATGCATTTTTGGGTTCAAAATAATTGTGAATATGGGCTTACAATGTGTTGATTATGCTCTCAGGAATCTCTTACACCTTTTTTATTTGTGTCAGTGAAGTTAAGATTATCTTTTGATATCTTCACTGTGTTTAAGAAATGGAAATATTCCTCAAATAAATGAAGCCTATGTCATTTTCATACAGTGTGTATTAGTTTGAACTAGAAATTCATTGCACCATTCATTTGTTTTCTTAGTTGCTCTTATAAGACATGAAAGGCATAGTGGAAAGCTTCTATCTTGATGTCAGACTTTAATCGTTGGTGAAAAAAATTTCTTGCTTTGACTTAGGATTTATTTCAGTATGTTAATTTCTTAAGAAGGGGAAAGACCCCTTTAAATAACACATAAATCTTGCATCAGATTCCTACCTTGTGTGTAACTCATGGTTTGGGAAAGAATCCTGCAGAAAGCTCTGGACAAAAATCCTTCTTCTGGAAAAGAGAAACAAAGTCGCTTCATAGTTGATAATAGTGATCGGAGTTCACAGAAGCCAGTTGCTCAGAGAAAGCGAAAGCGAGATGATTTTAACCCCATTGACAAAAGTGATAGGTGTGAAAAGAAGCAAATGAGAATTAATATGAAAAGTATGGAACAGAATGTTGACTCTGTGGATCGAATATCCCAATTGCCTGAACATATCATCCACCAGATCCTAGCTTCTGTACGTTGCAAAAAGGATGCAGCCAGGACTAGTATCTTATCAAAGAGATGGAGAGAAATTTGGGCTTCTTTCTCAAACTTAGTATTTGATCAACGTAAATTCCATACTCAAGAGAGAAATTTGCAGGGCGTATCTGATTCTCAAGAAATCAAGAGAAAAATAGAAGCATTCAGGAATTATGTCAATAACACTTTGCAGAGCCGTATTCAGCAAAAAGTCAGTATACAGAAGTTCATGCTTCATGTGACTTACTATAATCAAGAACTGGCCGCTAATGTGGACCGTTGGATTGATGCAGCAATTGAAAGAAACATTCAAGATTTAGATCTCCATCTCCCAGCAAAGAAAAGAAGATGCTACAATTTGCCTCAAAGAGTTTTTGCTGCCAAAACTATAACAGCATTAAGGGTTTATGGGTGTAAGTTGGGAACTTGTGATGATATAAAGCTACCTCATTTACAGAAACTGTGTCTGGGAAAGCTCCATATTGATGAACAGATAATCAGGAATTTAATATGTATCTGCCCTTTAATTGAGGATTTTAGACTGATTAACTGCAGTGGATTGAAAACTTTACTGGTATCTGATGTTCCTAATCTTAAACGGGTTGATTTGCACCTCTGTCGTGGATTGAAGAAGGTTGAACTTCTGGCACCAAATCTTGAAATATTTTGGTATCATGGGAGGAAATCGTTACCCTGCAAAATCAACTTGTCTGAATGCAAATCTCTTAAGAGTTTGTCACTCGAGGATGCTAACTTGAAAGATGAGCTGATTCAAACTCATCTCTCTAATTTCCCTCTCCTTGAAAAGTTGGCCTTAAGCAAGTGTAATGTGAAAAATATTACAATTTCAGGTTTCCGGATGAAGACACTAATCTTCAGGGATTGCAGAAAGTTGATAGAGGCTGATATTGATACCCCAAATCTTCTTTCCTTGGAGTACAAGGGCTGTATCATGCCCTTTTCTTCTTTCAATCCTTCAGGTCTGAAAGAGGCTAAGCTTTACTTTGAGCCACCTAAAGAGAAGGCTAAAGCTGGATTCTGGCATGAGGAGGATGACCAAATTTGGCTTGCTGGATTGCAAGAATTTCTTAGCAAGTTTGATTACTCAAAAGGTTTGAAATTGGTTGCCCGCTTCAAAAAGGTATCTTCCCCATTAACATGCTCTTTTTTCCCTACTTCTTTCAGGAATTGTCTCATCATATATCTTCAACATTCTGACAATTTTGGTTTTCTTTCTGCTTGCCTTGGCCTACAAAGAATATCATCATTTATGAAGAATCAAATGAAATCCTTCTTCCTCCTGTCTATGGTCTCAAACTTGAAATAGTCAAATCATCCCTAGGTTTTGAGGATCTGCTGGATAACGTTTTACGAACCTGGCACCCAGAGACACTATCTATAATATCATCTTCCAGCAGCAGTTTTTCTAAGGTATGACAAATTTGTGGTTGGGAAATTTTTTTGAAATGGAAGATCATCTTCCACCAGCATATGGTAAATGGAATGCTATTTGTGGCAATGGAAACTTATTATAAGTGTGTGTGCCACTCTTTTCCCCTAAATTACAGATAGCACGTAAGAAGTTGGTAACCAGTGAAGAGGAGGAACCAAGCTGCTGCAGATATAATACTGTCAGCAACAAATGTTGGCGGCACTTTCTGGAGCATTCCAAGGTTGAGAGTCTTTCTTCTACTAGGGCTACCTCTACCTGGATTGGTTGGTTAAGAATTACTTCAACCAAGATGCCACAGACAACTTGTTTCCGACTAAATTGGAAATCCCATAAATCTTTAATGCATGCATAGGCAAAACTTTACTGAGTCTTGACCAGTTAATAAGATTACCAAACTTTCTGGTCAATTATTTCAATTTTCATGAATCAATTGTAGTCATTGGAACTTGTTTCGATGGATTCTATCGTTACACTGGTTTTCTATTCATCCAATACTTTTGTTTACCATACACTTGGGAGGTACTATGCTGCAAAAGCATCAGGAGAATGTTGTTTGACACAGTAAAATGTTCTCTGCTTGTGATTTGTGATGCTTTGACGGAGAAATGACTGAATGACTATACAAGTGTATATATTAATATTGCTTAAGTGAAACGGAATCAGAATCAGATGCTGAACTAGTCTTCCCGCTGTCTATGATTGCATTGCATCACTCTCCTCCCCCAGTCATAAACCGTACCATATATATAGCAAAATTTTTCACTCCGCAGCTTGTGTTTTGAAATGGTAGGGGATCAAACTAGAAGCAAGAAGACGAGTGGTCATTGGATCATGGGGATGCCATCAAGGGATACAAGAGATCACACTTGTGTCTGGGACTGCGTATACTCCAGAGTGGCGTATGACAGGAATTGCAGCCCTTTCATCGCAAGAAAGGTGTTGGCTGAGGTTAGCTCAAAAGCAATCATGGTACTTGGGTTTTCAAATCTCAACGCCAACTTATTGCAGATTGAATCGAGTTTTAATGTTTAGCTTTTTGTAGAGGTTAAACTACAATATTAAGAGGGGTTTGCTCCTGTGCACAAGTGGCCACCTGCACACGGCCTGTGATTGGGTTTATATCCTGTCCATGCCCCAAACTAGATTCTATCAAATGCACCACTATTCAAACCATTATTCATATCTGAAGATACAACATTCATCTTAGCTCAGCTTGTCAAAATTCCCGAAACCACAACTATAAATAGCCATACTGACCAAGCTATTCACATTCATTCAGATATGTCGTTTCGAGGTCTTAAAATATGGAACAAGGAAAAACCAGAGTCACATTTCATATTAATGGCATGAGCATCCACGTGCAACATCATATGAGATAATAATTCAAAACCCAATTCATCAAATGCATACAGAGCAAGACAATGCAGTAGCATTATAATCCCAGACATCATATAATTATATAACACAGACATCATTCTACCACATCTTTAACCTCTAGCCTTGAGCTCTGCAAGTCGCCTCGACAAATCATCCTCATCAACCTTCTCCTGTGTCTTGGTAGACACAGCATGTGCAGCTGGCTGCGGCAGTCCCACAGAGACCTCCAGCCCATAATCATCAGCAACCTGTTGCATCAAGCTGTTGACCTCACCTTCCGGTGTGGATAATGAGGTAGACCCAGCCATGGCATTCTCCATGAACTCTGCTTGCACCTCCATGTTCACAAACTGCTTCTCAAACTGATCCATTGTCTCCGACATCTTCTGCAAATTACCTGTAATCATGATTGATATAAGAAACTATACCATTACAAGCCCCCTTTTCACTAAGTTTCAAAATAATCAGATTTATTCTTTTGCTCACCTAAGAACTAATTTATTATTTCTATGTATAAGAAAAATCACGGCTTTTACTAAAAATTAAAAGAAAAAAAAGGGGTTATATTGAACACTGGTTTCTAAAATGACAATTTAAGGAGATAAGCCAAATGAAATATAATCGAAAACCCTCTTCAATTATTATAAATAGGCAAGTTTTACTCAACATAAGCCCCAAAATTTCAAAAAGTAACATATTTTCTTAGTTTGATCCTAAGAAAATTCCTCTTCAAAATTATATTTTCTAGTTTCTTCCTATTAAATATTAGGTTTAGAAAGAAAATACAATGCGAGATATATATATATATATATATATATGCATTGAATAATGATAATTTATTTTAAAAAAAATAATAAATAAAAGAGGGTGAAATTACCAGAGGCCAAGGAAGACTCGAGGGACTTGACGATGTTGCCCATGGACTTGTTGATGGTGGTCATCTTGGCCTGAGTATCCAGGCGAGCCACAACGGCATCGAGGCGCGACGCGAGGCGGAGGTAGTTCATCTGCTCGGTGCGCTTGCGGATGGCGTTCTCGGCGTAGATCCGGGCGCCGTCCATGTTCCCCTTCTCGATCGCCTTCTTGACCTTCAATTTCTCGGCCTTCTCTTCCTTCTCGCACTTCCTCGACTGGCGCTGGAGGGATTTCGAGGTAAACTTGAGATCCATGATCTGGTTCAGCAGCTTCTCGGTGTTCCCCATGATCGCGGTTTGGAAACGGATCGGAGACGATCGAACAAGATTAGTGTTGAAGAATTGAGGTTTTCTGCTTTCGGATCGCCTTCTTTGAATGATGATCTGTGCGGTTTTCAGTTCATATTTGGAAATTGCGAGGAATTGGCTTCTTTCGTGGTCAAGATTCAACACTCGGGGACAGGAAATGGGTATTGTTAACTCGGCCCAAAACTGAATTGGGTAAAGCGTGTTAGCCCATTACTAGAGTGTTTTTTTTTTTTTTTTTTTGGGGGGGGTGGTGAATGATATGAGATGGTATTATTATTAAGGCAATAAAGGAAATATAATAGAGACTAGGGAATTGACATCCTAACGGATGAGCATTTTTTTTTATATCTTTGTTATACAATAGACGGTAATCATCTCTCATTTCTTATTTTATCTCATCCACATATCATGTGATTCAAATTCAGGATATCTTACTTTCAATAAAAAAAAAATTACTAAATTACTTAAATCATTGACCTAACTGATTAGCATTAGAGCTGAGAATATTGTTTATAATTTTTTTTACACATATTTATAGTATTTTTTATAGTTTATATGTTTGATAAATTATCTATTTTTACTTTTTTTGGAAATAAGTATAAAAGTCATTTTATTTAAAATTAATAGAATTTTTAAATAATTTAATAAAATTCTTAAATTTTTTTCTTATATTATATATTAAATTATTAATTAATTTAATTTAAAATAATAATATATCTAATTAGTAATTTTATAATATATAATTTTTTTAAAATATAATTACTAAATACACATCTAAACCTCACAACCCAACAGTTTTAAATTAATTTGTAAAGAGCATCCCAACCCCAATTATAAACCCATTCAATATATATATATATAAGAAATAGTGTTTATTAGCTTTAATTCTTAAAAATTAGGAGGAAAATCATCCTAAAATTATGTTATGTCAATAAATTTTTATTGAAAAAAATTAAATTATCATATTTTTAAAACATGCATTAAAATAATTTTTGTCTTTTTTTCTTCTAATTTTTTGGAAGTAAGGCTGATATATATATAATTATCAAATACTAAAATCCATTTCATAACAGCATATGCATTTCATAATAGTATAGTATAACCATTATAGTTATAAAGTAGCGCAAGATAGTATTGTCAAATTAAACTTGTACATCAAAATCTCAGTAGGGCATACATCAAATATGAAAAATCAACTGAAAGGTGGTGGCTCAGTACTGCAAGTTAATCTGCCCACATATTCGCCTCTCTAAGTATGTGTTGAAGGCGGATGTGGGGGATTTTCGTCAGGATTTCCTTACAATTCAAAATCAGGGTCAGCATAGGGTGATAGAATTAGGTTCTTTAGACAAAAGGTGATAAGAAATTAAGGAAACCATTTCCACAATCAGGTACTCAATCCACAGCAGCTTGGTGATAATCAAGCCTATCTCTAATTTCCCACAACTGCCCATCACTAGAGTTGTTTTCTCCAAAGTTGATGGCAAACATTAGTCACTGATTAATCAGCTGAGCCCATCATTCCGCATTAGATCAATTTTTTCCGTTAATTTTGGAGAGATTTGTTGCCCTTAGTAAGTTTAGGAGTGGATTTGCCACTAAAGTCTCATTAGAAGCAGATTTGCCACTAAGTTTCATTAAAGACTTAATTGCTGATGGTCCGGTGGAAATTATTTTGAGGGGCATTTGCCTATCATTCCTCGTTCTTAACTTCTTATTCATACGAGATTTGACTACAAAATGATTGCTAATGTACCTAAGGCGTTTAGGTTAATTGGTAACGAAATTTACTTCTCATCTTATTGATCAATGTTGATTTTCTAAACAAGTTAATGAGAAAATTATTTTTTTTTGACTTTTTTCTTTTTGTTTTGATTATTTTCCTTTTACTTAAGTTAAAAAAATATTAGTCTCAAAGAATAAGTAAGTTGATTCAATAATACCTTGAGCACCAATCAAAAGATATTTAACTCTTTAACCACCAAATTAATGGTTGGTAGGGTTTTAGGAACACATTAGATGAGCGGGTTCTACAATGG